AAGATAAAAAAACCCACTAAAATGTTCCTTTTATCCACTTTCTTCCCCCTCTATTTGAGGGAAATCTACAAAGTAAGTCTTACACAAAATTGCTAACATCTCTGACAAAGATAAAGCAGTGGTATTGCACAAATGTTAAATTTCTGAGTAAACAGAAGATGCTGAAAATGCCTGGATTCTCTAACGTTAGCCTATGCAAACAGGAACGGGCAAAAGAAGAACTGTTCCTTTGTGCGTGTTTGGTAATGATAAAACAAGTCTTCCTTATTTTTAGAGCCAGGGTATTTCAGGAAATAACTGTATGAATTGTCAACTTATAACTGTATCAAAATTTTCCATTTAACCAACAGAGTTCTGAAAAACACAGGATTTCTGCCTTTTCTTCCCCCCCCCAAATATACAGGTGCACCTCTTATTTTGCATATACACAACACTGAACTGTAACAGAAGCTGGAAACTTTGCTCTGAACACAGCTGAACTTGTAAGACAGAATTTTATCACTTCAGTATCTGGAACAGCCAAAGAAGATACATGGTACAGTTTATTTGCTCCCGGGAAACTGACGGAGCTGCAGATAATCAAAACTCAGAGCCCTATGAAATTTATCTCTGGGATCCACTTCACTCCAACTAGCACCTTCTCTGAGACACATCTCAAAAGAAATAACATTACTCTCATAGTATCTCTTAAATTAGAAGTACAATTGCTTTCCCCAATTGCCAAAGAAATCTGAACTCTTATCTTCACATCAGGTATGTTAAAACTAAGCACTCCTACCTGACGTTTCAAAGGAACGCAATACTCTTCACAAAATTCTTTGCGTTAAGTCAGCTGTATGAACCAGGAGCTGCGCTATGCTCTCCGCAGTGACGTGTGATAGTTCCTCTGTTATGTTCCGTGTTTCCGAAGAATAGCAGTTTCATTTGTGATAGTATCTATCCCATGAAAAAGAGAATCAACCGTTGTATGCCTTGCACGTATTTTACCACACGCTGGCCAATTTGAAAGTCCTTGGCCACAGTACTCCAGAATGGTGTCTTTCTAAAAGCCAAGTGGTGAACGGTTAAATAGTTTCGCCTTGTGTCTACTTAAAAAACATTATGTAAATTAATGAGTTGGGTTTTTTTCTTTTCAGTTTTAGTCTGAACAGTCTGGATTTTGTTGACCTCATATCCGTATTACTAATACACATTTCTTTTCCAACACAGAAACGATAGTAAACACCAGAGCAATGTTTGAACTCCTTTCCAGAGAGGAGAAATAGTAACGTCACCACCATTAAATAGCTTCAGTCTTCCTGGACTTCCACCACATAGATGGGGGATCAAGGAGGCACAAGCGAGACAAACGCAATTTCCATGCCAGCCTCGTACTTCACGCTCTGACTACTTATCACAGTAAAGAGCAAGGACAAAAACCAGCCCATTAATATTTTCCAAACTCAGAAGTTCAGCCCAACGAACGCAAATATTTTCTAAACGTAAGCGTTCTTGGCAATTTAACTGATGGAGTGAGACGAAAGTGACTAACCTGTCACAGAGAGCGCCGGTCAGAATCAGCATGCAGAATTCCAACTTGCAAAGCCACAAGCGTGGCACGAGTTACCAGCTTTCCATGCCACAACTGTCACAAATGGTTCCAGCTCTACCCAAACCGTGTCCCGTCATCCTCCCCGATGCCTCTAGCAGCACCCAGAAACAAGTACTTCAGAGGAAAGTGCAAGAAACAAAACACAAGTGTGGAGTAACTCACCTCCTGAGCACTTTCCTATTAGTCCTCATAGTTAAAGTTTGGGTTTTGTTTAGTACATTTTTGTTAGATTTGAAAACATTCCAGACCTTTCTTACCCTTACGTTAACTCTAGATACATTTATCTGTGGCCAGTTCCCATTAAAGCTAACACCTTATAGTCCTTCTGTATATGCTTCTGAGTTTTTATTAACTTTGATTATTTTGTGGTGTATTTATCAACTGCTGAATTCTCCTGAACACTCAGGGGAAAAAAAAAAATATATCACCACCTACCTCACTAAATCCTGCTAGCTATTTGAGGTGACCAAGAATACAAAGTCACTCTTTCTGTAATGCTGTGAGCAATATCAAGAGCGCTGTATCTCACTGAGCTTCATTGCCTCGTTTTTCCATGCAGCCAGGCCTGGTATCGCCATTGTGAAGGGAGTCATTCTACAACACTAAAGACAAAACAGAAGTTCAAATACCAACACCCGAAATCTGGCACATGCACCTCCTTACTGTAACAACCAACCTGTTTCCCTGTATTTAAAGAATTGCATACATGTTTGCAAATGAGACTACAACCTCCAACTGTAATCTCACAAGGTAAGGAGATGTCTTTTGGGGAAAAAAACCTTACCGTAGAGTAGCGAGCTCGCCATTAGTCTTAAGGAAACAGTAATCAACATTAAGCAACAGTTAGAATTCAGAACTACATATTGTAGAACGGCGCAACTTAAAATTTCAATTGCTGCTCCTCTCCAGAAGTTACAGAAATTAATGCAGTACGTTGTTAAATAAACTGTACATACAAGTGGAAAAAAATGTGCAAGTCAGCGATTTGTAAGAAGAAATAGGTAGATAAAAGAATCACTGAACCCCCGATATGACATGAGGCTACGATCAGCCTGTCGCTTCTTAGGACGGGATGCTGCTAGAAATTCAGCATTACCTGCGCAAGAACAGAAAACTGCATTCTCGTCTTGGCCTATATAGTAACTGGCAAGACACCATCCACAATACCAAATATGCTCCCAGTTGTATGCTTGCAAGATGTTTTTTTAAAGAATGTCATTTTTTGCCAGATAAGACGCTAATATAATCACAGAACCATGCAGCTGGAAGGGGAATTCTGGAGGTCTCCAGTCCAACCCCCTGCTCGCTGCAGGACCTGTTAAAGCAGGTTCCTCAGGGCCTCGTCCAGTTGGCATTTCAGGTACCTCCAATGACGCAGATACCGTAATTCCTCCAGAAAACCAGGTGTTGGACCATCCTCAAGGTAAAAAACATGTTTTCATATCAATTTTGAAATGTTTTGTCTTCCAACTTGTCCCTGTTGCCTCTCATCCTTCCTCTACGCGCTTCCGAGCTGAGTTCGGCTCCATCTGCTTTGCCGCTTCCCACTAACTGCTTGTAGGCAGCGATAAATCTCCCCTCTCCCTTTGCAAGGCCATCTCTTTAGGGGCTGAACAAGAATCCAGTTCTCTCAGCACGTCATGGGCTCCAGCCTTCTCACCATCTCAGCAGCCCTCCACCGGATCTGCTCCAGTACATTAGCGCATTGCACTGGGAAGCCCGGAACCCAACAGAGCATCCAGATGCGGCCTCAAGAACTGCCAGGGAATAACTACTTCCCTTCACCTGCTGGCTGCACTCTTGCTAATCCAGCCCAGTAGACAGTTGCTCCGCTCCTACAACCAGGCACCTCAGGAAAACGCAGGATTTCGCTTTCACCTCATCACCTTACCAGACCACTGCCGGGACCCCGACTCTTCAGCAAAACACTGCCACATCAGGATACCGACCCGCTTTTATCCTGCCACCAGCAGACTACGTAATTCTACAGCGAGAAACCAAGGCCAACTGCTACTGCTGTCATTCAAGCCTGTCTAATGGGTAGACTGCAGTCTGAAAACCGTATGGCAATACTAAATTCAAATAAAACGCAGTAAGAAAATAGAATTCATATCAATTTTTTTACGCTTCTGAAGCAAGTGTGAGAGACTATACCATGCATTCCCCTAGCAAAAATGCATCTACTACAAGACAATTTGAAGTGGGGAAACTAAATTAGGAAAACTTAGTTTCAAACAACATCCCTGCCCTACCTACAAACCAAACCTCGATAAACTCCTTCAGCCCCCTCTTTTACTCAGGGATCAGGGTGACAAGAAGCAAACTAACAAAAGAAATAAATAAAAGACTACAGATTCTTTCTGCCACAACAAAGGCATGTGACTGTTGGCTACATCTGCCTGGTACTCCTGCTGCTTCTCTCTTTCCCAGTGCTAAATAGTTTTCTCTAATGACAAAAAAAAACCCCAGTTACTTCAAAAATCACTTCCTATTATCAAAGATGAATGAGCACTAACTTAAAAAGTTAAAACATGAATCATCCCGACTCTGCACAATGACAACCACCTGAGAGCAAAGAACACAAGCAATGCTTTGCCCTCTACCCTGATTTCTGTTTCTCTACCAAAAAAAGACAACCTTCTACAGGACCGGACTTGCACAGACTTCTGTGCAAAGGGACATCCGCGTGCACCAAGTTTCACAATGTATGTCCGCTGACTTAAGATGTATGCAGAGCAAGGCGAGATGTGAATCTGAACACCCTCACAGGAAGTGCCTACATGTAATGACGCTGATGCTTACATGAAAAAAATATCGAACGCGGGTCCTTTAAGGCATAAAACATTTGCACTTGACCTTTAAGACTTACATTAAAACAGAAATTTGCTATGCAGTTGAATGAAGTCTTTGGTTTCTTACTGTCATTCGTTCTTTTTCACGGTGCTACTTGCCTCATTTCAGTACATACAAACAGAATGCTGCCACTCAACAGCCAATACCAGAAACGATCAAAGAAACTTGTCCTCCCAACTCCAAATCTAACGCACAGGAGACTGACAACAACCTAGTTTACTTTGCAGTTGCAGTAAATCAGCTATCACGTGTACCACCTGGATATCGAATGACTACACCTGATTACGAATCAATCTGCACCAGTGTCTTGATTAAATAAACCAGTAACTACAGCGTCAGTCCATCTAGCCTTTTTCCTCACCCCAAAACTTGTTGTTCGCTAGCCCGCAAGTCAGATCAGCTTCACTACAAGACGACAGCCTGGGTGAGTCGCAGTTTTATTTAGTATTCGTCTGCACAATTCCTTGCAATAATTCAGGAGACAAACCTGTATTACTGGACTATTCTAATTGCAAAACAACCACCCTTGAAACAAACCTTCCCAATAAACACACATTTGTGCTGAACAATCCTTCTTTACGGCCAGACAGTCAATGCTTTATTTGAAAAATAAATATAATTCCAGCTGCAACATTTTACAGTAAGTTAAGTACATCTCAATAAAACAGCACTACTTAATTACCCATGCAACATTTGTGAGATAGCTCTTCCAACAGTTCAAATGACATCATTTCTTAAAACTGTATTTGGTAGTCAAGGCAGACACAATATCCCTGTACGGAGTATCCGAGTCAGATTTGGTCCTTGGTATGCAACACAGTCGACGAAAGGTCGGAGAACGCAGCAACAGGTTGTGCGAGAGTCCCACGAAGCTCGAGGACAGCCAGTACAACGCCATGGACTGCAACGAGACAAATACCGAGTTCAGCCGCCCTAGCTGCAATGAAAACACTACAATTTTAGGCAGCTCTTCACGAACCACAGCCACTGGTTACTCCCAGTTACTGAGAAAAATAACTCACCTAAACCCACTCCTCTCAGTAACAATAATGGCTTCCATTTCAAATGTATTTTTCACTCTCTCAACTCTCCTGGGAAAAAGAGTCATCTACACTGAAGTTTGACAACAGTTCATAAATTAATTCATATTAAACTTGCTTAAACTTCTATATTTCAGACTATAAGTTGACGAGCCAAACAACAAGATACTTTGTGTTTGCTAACCACCACAAAAAATATTCAGAACCAAAACACCTGGTAAAAATGAGAAGTGTTTTAAGAAGATTGTGGAAAATTTCCTAATCTAAGAAGTACGCTGTTTTCCTCTTACAGTAAGCAAACACTTTGCAAACCTTTGTCTGTACATCCTTATATTAAGTTTTCCTCTCATTTTTGCCATCACAAAAAGGATGCTAACCTGCACTGAATGTCCTTCCAAGCCCTAGTTGGCAAAAAACACGTTTAGAAACAGTGAGTTTGCAGATTCTTCCCTCTTGGACAAAAATATTCCAAATGTGTCAAGAATTTAAACATTTACATAGACAAAACATCTTATTTGTTTTGGGGCACACTGTATTAGAAAGTATGGTCTAATAAATACACCAGGCATTTGGGTTGCTCTTTAAGCATTAAGAACATACCAGAGTCCCACGTTAACGGATGCACCGTTGAGACTCTGTACTTACAGAGGGAACTGTTGCAGCAACAGGGATCATCACTACTGACACCACTCGAAAGAAATTGGTAGCAAGCTTCTGGACTCTGGAAACTTCCATTTTTTGTGAAGCAAAGATCTGAAAGGGGAGAAACCCACAGTTATAAATAAGTTGTTTTTTAAACAACTAAAATGAGAAAAAAGGCAACAGTGGGGTTTCCCGTAACCCAGCACTCTTGTTTGTGTATTACTTTCATTTTGCATCCTCCATTTCAATTAACATACTGCTACAATCTTTCATTTAACTCGTTTGATGTTTTACACGTTCAGTCCTTTGTAGAAAACACTGTACCGACCCAGCAGAGTACCTAACAGTCATTTCAAGGTAACGTAACTTCACACAGACACTTCTGCACATCTAAAAGTTCCAACGCCTCAGCCTGAAGCAGAGCCCTCTGAGAAAAGGCTGCCAACAGGAAACAGACCAAAGACGGTCGACAGATAACTGAACGAAAGCACAATCAAGTCTACAGGCACGTGCTGACTTTTCTAAGACAGTCTCAGTCCACGTGACAGAAGAAAACGGAGTAAGAATGAAATCCAAATGGTTAGAGTTTGATAAGAACACCTAACAGAAAAGTCAAGAAGAAAAATATTTCCATTAAATTACCCCCAAAAATGGGAAATGAAGACTTTTTTCTTTTTCTTCTGTTTCTGTTGATTAATCTCCCCAGCAATCTTAAAAAGCTCTGGATTTTTTCAATTTATTAAGAAGAACACATAACATTGTTAGTTTTGACCACAAGGCAGCAACAAATAATTGGGGGCGGAGTGTAGAACAAACCAAAAAACGCCACATGTGCTTGTGGATGCTTAACACCCGAAGAAGATCATTAGAAGATCATTCTAAATGAAAACTTCAGTCAAGACTAAATTTTACCGAGGCTCAAGTAAAGCCAATAAAGTATCTGAGACACGTCACATCAGAATTTGTCATCTCTAAACAAGACACCCACACATTCTAACGCATAGCACTGGGTAATATTGTCTTACAAGTCTATAAAAAGAATTATCCTTTTGCAATCATCCCATTTATTCCACCAACGTACCTCCACTATCAGCAAATTGACGAGCCCAAGCGAAACTGGCAAAATCCACGTAGAATCTGGTGCCGTGAGGTCTGTAAACCACAACGCTCCGCCTGCTGAGAACTGTTCTTGAACTACAAGAACAGTTTAAAGAAAATACGGAATTAAGTAAGGGTTGCTACCTCAAGTTAGTCAGAACCGTACCATGTATTACAATCAAACCATCCACCTTTCTAGGTACATTTTATCTACACAATAAATACTATTAAAGCAGATATCTTTGGTTTAACAGATCACATGTCAAGGCAGTCTGCTATCAACACAAGTTAAAAACTGGTGGGAGATACGAGCTGAGATCCAGCTTAGCTCACGACAGCCACCGATTCAAGTAAACCTGCGATAAAAACTAGCTTGATCTCAACCACCATTTTACAAGCCAATGAGGAAAATATGTAATGCAGTAACCTACAATGACTACGTGTTTTGCGTTTGCAAAATAATTCTATTTTTCTTAATAACTATATAATTTGTTTTGTTTTTGTTTAGAAGAACAAACTATATAAGCGCTTCTATAAAAAAAATCAAAATATCAGTATTTTTGTTCAAAAAAACCACACACATTCACCTTGTCTACAGTGCTTCACGTGAAACTTCACATGGAAGAAAAAAAACCAGATTAATAGTGAATGTGCTGTGGCAGGGGTAACATTACTTGCTAAATATGCTTATCTTGTGAACCAGAAAAATCCCAAGACAAATTTTTTTTTTCTAGTAACCCTGCCTTCAGAAGACCCCAAAATCATTGAACGCTCACACGGCCTAACAAAACACCGTGCTTTTGAAGAGGCATCCCGCAAAGCTCACAACACTATCACAAATGACTGTCTAAGCAGAGATCAGCCATGCTCTCAATACGCTGAGAATACCTGCTGCAAGAGTCCAAACCAAAGAAAAGCATAGGTGTGGTCCAGACTCGAGGTCTTCGGTTACATGAACTGTGGTTTAATCTAGTACAACATGTACAATGTACCTAATCGAAGCCTTTGAAATTCATTTTTATTTTTATCAGATATTTATCGATGCTTAAACTATAATAAGTTCAAAACCTTAGTAGTGGAGTAGTTTTTGTATCAGCTTATATGTCAAGCTCAGGAGATAGCATTCTTTAACCAACAAAGCAACTGTAAAAACAGTAACCGAACGGAAAATGACTGTTAAGAGTGTGTCTGTTCAGATTAATCACCTCCCGAGTCCACGGCACCGACACTGCAGTTGCGCAAAGCGAGGGACACGCAAACCCACATTGGAATCTGTACCCACACCAGTAAAGTGGCTTTGAAGGGGTGGCAGTTGTCTCGAATGTACAGTTCCGTAATAATCCTCCGTAGGTTTTTCTTAAAGTGGAACCTTTTAGAAAGAAAAAAAAAAAAGTCCCCTCTCAATACCTGTTACAGAGTAACTTCGCACATTCTGAAATAACAATTCTACAGGCTGTGCACCTTCAATTGGCTTCTTTAGGTGCAACTCTGGAAAACCTGAAAGTCTTTCCTTTTCAAGCATGCCTCTCTCCTTCCTCACAACTTTTAGCCCTGTTGCTATAAGCAGCTTTTCACAACAAAATTTCCCGTTGTCATTGACAGCTCCCACTAACTTGTCCGATATTTTATTTCATGGTGCTTTTTGTCTGAACTAGGGTACGACCTTCCCAATACAGAGGCAATCAGCCAGTTACGTCGTCCTCGGTATCCCAGCTTAGATACGCTGCTACTGCACGGGGTGCAGTACTACGCTAACAAATGCACAGGACCACAACCATAAAAGCCTCAAGTTCCAGCAATATTTAGATACCATAATAGCTAAGGAAACTTTAGCCACAAGTAAAGACAACAAAAAAAATCCTGGATTTGGCCCTGTAATCATAAGCCTATCACGAGTTCAGAGCTTTAAAATAGATATACTCTGAAAAGCAACATAACAAACAAACAAGTTGTAGATGTGGTAAGAAAATCTAAGCTTTGGGCAACGGCAGAATCTTTCCGTAAGATTTTTGTCTGTAGGACTTTCCCTCCTGCTACCCCTCAATCTAGAATGGATTTAAAAGGCATATACAATAGCCATCTTACCTGGCCACCTTTTCAGACCAACCCAGTTGCTTTCCACGAACAGAAACTTCATAGCGAAGACGCTCAGCTAGTTTTTTAATCTCCGGCTGCAAATTTTCCAACTAGCTAAAGAAAAGGAAAAACGTTTATGCGCAGTTACGCATAACAAGCACTTCCTCTCCCCACCTGATCCTGTACAGGCATTAAAAACGACTGTGAAGAACAAGGCACGCACCCGCAAACACATTTTATCTTCAAACAGAACGAACAAGTGAAAATACTAATGAGAAGTATTTACAGTAACAAAGATACTATCTCACCACTAAATGAAATTAATCCAGAGTTAGATTTTATATCTTGTTCTTAATAAGCATCTTTTTGCCTTCATTCAAGAATTGTGACCAGTTACTTCACTTAACAGAAAAAACCCTTCAATGCCACTTCAAAAAGATTTCAAGCCCAGCAGGGCACACAACTTTGCAGTCACTGAAGTCCCTATCCTGAGGAATAAGAAGAGACCCCATTATGCAAGAGGACAAGAGGTGATTCACTTTTACAATCAAAAGAAAAGGAAAAATGAACCATCAATACTGTAAAAAAAAAAAACAAAAAACAAACAAAACCCAAACCAAACAGACTGCAATAAAAGAATTAAACTATGCTTCTTTTGCAATAACGCTCTTCGAATGACGGTCACTGAAGAAGCCCATCCAAGAAACACACCTGCGTTCACCGGTCTGACCTCTGCACAGGTGAGGAACAAAGATCCAACTGATTCCAAACCGGACTTGAGTGCTGGCAGCTGTGAAGCACCACCCTGATAGTCCTCGTTAGGAGGAGAAACACCCTACTTCACACCACAGCACTGCGAAGGCTCCTTTGCCACTGTAGGCACGGCACATAACCCCTTCGGTCACTTCCATCGTTTTCCTCGCTTTTGAGGTAAAACAGGTATTTAGAAACTGCCGAAAGCTAGTTTATTTCAGGTTTTTACCAGAGCAACTTCAGCAAGAGCTTCGTTTACCTTAACACAGCAGGTCACACCAAGTCCCTTGCGCGCGCCGCCCGCCTCTCACACCGAAACCACTCCATTCCCGCGCCCTTACCCCGGAGAGGCGCGTTCCCCTGTTTCAGTTTTATTTAGACTTCAGGTGTCGCGGGGAGGACCAACGCAGGCTTGCAACCACGGCACAGCCTCGCATGAGCTGCCGCGCCCTTCGCCACAGGAGGCCAACGGGCAGCGCAAGCAGACCCCTGCCAGCGGGGGAAACGGCGGCCACGGCCGCACGGCAGCGTGCTCGGGGACAGG